TCCTCATCCATCAAGGCTTTCATGCCTAAGAGCACAAGGTATTGCTAGATTGACCCTAAGCATCATGCATTCAAAAAGGAAGCTTTGTGTCAGGTCAGTGGTTCGGACACGTGATTCTTGTGTGATTCCATTTGCTCGTGGACAAGTTACTACAAAGTTGCACACCAGAGATCCCTGACCTTCCTATTCAAAACTGTGTAAAAGCCATTTTACGAAATGAGAGTTTAGCTCTCAATCTTTTTCCCCAACTTTGACCAAGTCAGTAAGGCATTTACAACATTTTCAACACTTGCCCGGATGAGCTTCAATCGTCACTATCTCTTAATGTGAGTGAGTTAAGGAACTGCTGCGCAGCCAGAGTAGTAACAGAAAAGCCAAGCTTCACAAAAGATAACACAGTGCCAACCCTCGATGCCACACCATCACCTCCTCCTCCCCCCACACCCCCCGCTCAGCCCCCGCCCAGCCAAACGAAGAAGAAAAGAAGGTGATTGTTCATAACGGGCCTCAAGTATAAAGCCATGACATGGAAATGTTGCAAATGGAATGCAACAAGACCTGAGCCAATCCCTCAAGCTGTAGCTACACCCAACAGTTCCTTCACTCACATTGGAGAAAGTAAGCCGTAACTGCAAGAAGCTTTGATGTGTGATCCAAGACAAAAAATTGGTTTCTCAGAGGTTTGGAGGTTGTGCATCTCTTGAAGATGGTGCTTCTCTGAACAACTAGTCCTTTGATTCATTTGTGTGTAAAATTCAAGAGCTATTTACGTAACTTAGTCAAAAATATTTGTTGCCCGCAATCTGGAATTTGTTTGAAATAGAGGTTAAAGCGGATTTTTCCCAGTAGTATCAGATTTATATTTTTTAATTTTAGGGGAAGCTTTAATTATTTTTCTGAGAAAAAATTGTCCAAAGCCAATCTTATTCAGTTCAAGATGCCTATAATGAGGGAGTTAATTGATAAAATTAGAATTGTACTCGGCACTTAAATATGTTATCACAGATTGGCTGACAGTGCACCGATACCAGGACCGTGCTACACTGCAAGTAGGTTATTCTGGTCAATCATATTTCTGAGCTCACAGTGGAGCAGAATTGAGTATTGCATGAGTTTCAATAGACCACTCACTCTGTTATTTCCCCAAAAGTGACCTCAAGTCAGTTATCCTTCACAGAAATGTAATTTCTATGCAGTCCCAACTTCACAGATGCAGTTTCTCATTCCTTCCACAATTCCAGGTACTCCTTCAGAAACCCCTCGAATTTTTACTGACATTTGCCACCTCCCTCATTTAAGTGCTTTCCCTTCAAAGTGCGAACTGACTGTTCAAGCCTTAGTTGGTTTCTGTCCTGATAACACTGCAACAATGACTGGGTTGACTGAGCAATATCGAGGGAGTGTGTGTGAAAATCAAACTACTCTGCACCTTGGGAAGTTACCAGCATGTGAAGCTAAACACCCTGCCTGACTTTGCATCTTCTGATCTCAGCGAATGTTTTCTGTTACTTAAGAGGAGTTAATGAGAGTTAGTTATTAGTTAGTGAGAGAGGAGCTTGGTGCCACCGTTAGGGTTAGCACTTATGAGTCAGTCACATTACTGTGCATCTGGACTCATGTAGACCAGACCAAATAACTTTTCTAAAGGGCATGAATGAATCGGAAGGATTTTTTTACAACAATGCATGGTTACCATTATTGATGCTAACTTTTTATTTCAGCCTCCGCTTTACTGAAATTAAGTTCCCCAGCTGCCCTGGTGACATTTGAACTTGTCTCTGGGTCATTAGTCCAGGCCTCTGGGTTATTCACCTGGTGACAGAACCAATATGCTGCCATATCCAGGTAAATCAGGTAAGTTTATCATTAGCTGCACTGATACTAATCAAGACTTCTGCTACTGGCTCTTAATGCATTGGTCTTGAGCAGCTGACTGGAAGCAAATTGGTAACTTGCCAGAAATCTTGTAAACCAGTGCCCATAAAAGATGTGGTACATGTACAAGATGTGCAATTCCAGACTGGAGGTCTCAACACATTATAAAAGAGGCTGTTGATATCTCGCTCTGTGTGCCTCAGGTCTCTGCATTATGCTGACACAATAATTCTGTTGTGCCAACAACAGAAAGAAGCAATTTATGACTTTTAATATCAAATAATATAAGTAGGATATGGAAGTACAGCCAAAAAGGCAGGAACGGTGATTTTTTTTTTTTTTTTTTTTGAGGATATCGTGACAAGTAAGCAACATGGTGTTCATTCATCTGGAAAAGTGAAGGCAAAGAGACCTGATAAACAGTTTTTAATGGAGGGATGGGTGTGGGCTAACTATTTCCCCTGTGGGTGAGTCCAGTTGAAGGGGACAGAAATGTAAAGTAGCCACTAACAACAGCTTGATCAAAAGACTAAGAAGGAATTATTTTGTACAGAATGTCACAAACAAGGAACTTAACTGCCTTTTGGGAGTGGTCGAAGCAGACAGCATTGTGATATATGGAGAGACTTGATATATGCATGAGAGGGAAGGAAGGAAAGGGATATGTGGGCTGCTGTTCCAAATGGTCTGTTTCTGGTCTCTGTGGGCTATTAGTTACATGCAGGTTTACTCACTGATTCCTCACTAACAACACAAAATATAACAAGCCACATTACGTAATACGTTTACTTCAGGTGACCAGAAGCTTGGTCAAAGAGATTTTGGTAAGTACTGTGGGAGATTTTAAGTACATCTCTTGGTTTTAACAAACTAAAGAAAATCTCGTCTAAGTTGTGCACAACCGGATGACTCTCGATGTAGTTTGTTACAGATAATATGCCTTGTCAGGAATAATAAATTCAAGGCCTTGGATCTCAAATGGAAGAAACAGCACTGAACTTGCTCCATAATCCTGACTTAATGAAGTTGCTTTGTAAACAAAACAAAATTACTTTAAGTGAATTGTGGATGTCAATTTTTTTAACAAGAAGTTGTTCATCATGCCCATGACCAGTGCTCAGTGAAAGTACAGCATTGTGCTATATCCCATGACACACGCACAGTTACAAATTGTGGAATAGGCAAATTATAATCTGTCATGAGGTTGATCTGCTTCTGAACTGTTAAGAAAGCTGGACAAATTGATTGAATCAAATTAAATCATTTTCTGAAGAAGGGTCTAGGCCCGAAACGTCAGCCTTCCTGCTCCTCTGATGCTGCTTGGCCTGCTGTGTTCATCCAGCTCTACACCTTGTTATCTCAAATTGATTGAAAGCTGTGATTCCTAATCATTATTTTCAAACTGCTGTTCTACTTTAGTCTGTACTGTGTTGCTGCAATGTTAATTTGCCTTCGAAATCACATCCACATAAATCACCTTGGAACAATTCCAAGTAAGCTCTTGTTAATTTTTCCTTCCCTGATTTAGTATGCAGCTTGTTTGCGTATAATCATTAAAAAGGGTGATGGGCTTTATGGTAAAGATTTGAAATCTGCAGTTCTCTCAGAATGCCTTCAAGTGAAACGGGAAGTCAAACAGATACACAGTAGGGTTGACGTGGTTTTCTTCCAGAAGTTGAAGGACAGACTTGAGCTAATTTTTACATTTATTAACAGAGTTGCACATTACACACGCACGACTCTAAACTCAACATCCACACAGTTTTAGCCAGTGACTAATTATAGAGAGGTCAAGTTAATGCTCACCACCTATATACAATTAAACACAATTAGTATGCAGTTTAACATCACATACTTGGACTCCATTTTTTTCATTTAAGGATGTGTTCCCTCTTCTTCCCTTACAATTGGTCCTTTGTTTCTTGTCTTCCTAAAGACAATGTAGAGTGCAGCTACATGGGATGCAACGTACACTGTGGTTCTGTGTCTAAGTAGCCGTTCTGTATTTGTAAACCCAAACCATTTGTGTTGTTACCCTTGAATAATAAGACAACTTAGCTGGATTCAGCCCTCAACTGACACCCAAAAAAGATAGATATTGAGAATGAGAGCCCCAGCTGAGTTTACTCCATCCTTTTGAGTTGCTGGGTCGCTGAGCCTGTACTATTCAAACTACTGGGATCTGCTAATTTGACACCCACCTAAATTTAGGTCTGACATGAATATTCTAGGCTTTGTCAACCCCCCTCACTTCACTGTGGTTCTAAAATCTACCATCCCAATTTCTGCCATGGGCACTCAGGGAGGGGGGGAAAAAGCACCAAATTTATCTTCCAAGACTCTGAAATACAAGGAGATCTTGCAAGTCATTCTTGGACATTACAATCCCACAATGTCTTTCCTCTCAACTAAGACGAGGCGTTCTATTTTTAGCAATTTTTTTTTTTGTTCGTTTGACTGTTCTTCAAACGAAATGGGAGAATTCAGTACTCAATGGAGTGACATATTTCGCTGCATAGATTAAGCTCCAGGATGACATGTGGGTTCAGATCTGAGTCTGCAGCTTTTGCCTGGATATTCCTTTTAACAATGACTTAACACAGCCCTGTGAGAAGAGTATTTCGATTTGTGTGGAAATGTCACTGCTTAACTATGTTACATCAATTTGCATAGCCATTTGGATTGACTGAAACCTGGGCTATTTTGTTGGGCTATTTTGGTTACTTAAAGGGAGATTTTTCTCCCCTCAGAGCAAACTGTTAAAGGGTAGATAAAAACCACAGTCATCTCTTGAACAGTCTGTATTTAATTTTATATGAAATGCCGAGGGGAAAAGCCTGTTGACAGCTTTTCTACCATTTGGGACACTTGCTTTAAAGCTAATGTTGTAGAACACTTAAAATAAAAGCAAAATACTGCAGATGCTGGAAATCTGAAACAAACGCAGAATGGTGGAGAAATTCGGCAGGCCTGACAACGTCTGTGGAGAGAGAAGCAGCATTAATGTTTTGAGTTTGTTATGACTTCAGAAGAAGTATCTTTAGAGCGCAGTCATCACTGATTCCATCAATTGATATCAAGTGGCTGATTTTTGATTTTTTTTTTATATATATGTTTCCTAACAGGTAGGAAATAAAGTAATATTCCTGACTAGTTTTGTTGGAAACCGAGGAACGTTCACTCGAGGTTACATGGCGATGGTCCTGGATGTGGAATTTCTCTACCACCTAGCGTACACACTAATATCTGTGATGGGACTTTTAGCCCACGAATTCTTCTATAGTCTCCTGGTAAGTAATGAAAATCCCTTCAATTTTGCTTTAAAGACTTCAAGGTGTTTTGAGCTTTAAATTTGGCCAAGTTACCAGGAGGTGGATGGAGGTTTTTTTTTAAGAAAAGTGAGCTGTCTGTCTCATTGGAAATGAAGATCAGGATGATTTGGTTTTATCACTAAAATCTGATCATAAAATCAGACCAAGAGCTATGACATCAGTTCTACTTCACTGCTCTTTCCCTATTTGCCTTGCCAGTCATTTGCTCCTTTCCTGCACCACGTAACCACACAGAGGGCCCACAGGCTGTTGGGGAGCCGAAGAGACAAATAAAAAACCTTTAACTAAATATCCAGTCATTTTGCATGTGACAAACTTCATGCTAGAACTAATTAAACGTAAATGTAAGCGCACGTTTAATGTGTCTAATTTTAATGTATGTAAAAAGTGACCATACTTTGACAAGAAAGGTTGGCCCAGAAAATCTGAGGAGAAGCATTCATTGTTAGATTGCTGCTCTGCACAGGGTGAAGTGTAGGTTAAAGAAACCCCTACCCCACCTGCCTTTACAAAACTGGCTACCATAAGTTGTTTATTAAAGGTCCAGTGTGCATACTAGCCAATGGGTGACTGGCCATTAGGAGTAGGGTGGATAAGTGGATAGATTTGGCAGGTATAACAGTGTAGAGCAGGAGGAACACAGCAAGCCAGACAGCTGTTTTCTTAAGAAGAGTCCCGACCCGAAATGTCAGCTTTCCTGCTCCTCTGATGCTCCCTGGCCTGCTGCGTTCCTCCAGCTCCACGCTGTGTTATCTTGACTCCAGCAGCTGCAGTTCTTACTATCTCAGAATTAGCAGGTAGGTGGATTTTGACGGATTTAGTGTGGAGTGGTGGAGAAGTAGGGTCTGTTTGGTTGTTGAGGACTTAGTCAAGAAGTGGTGGAGTCGAGAGGTTGTTGAGGAGGGAAGTGTGGTCAGGAGAGATAGTTTGGTGGGGTAGTTGGAGGAATTCTGTTTTAAGTGATTAGAATTTAGTTTTGCAGGAGGATTAGGTACTTTGTTTTCTGTCTGCCATTTGCTAGTCCGATAGCTATTTGGGTAAAACAAATCAGAATGTTTCAAAATCTCTGACTCAAATTCCAAATTGGAGACTTTTGTAGAAAGTCTCCAGTGAACCAAGGAATTGCTAGTCAGAAGCTTCAGAGATCAGCAAGTTAGAATTTCCCAATGCATATCTTGGATCATAATGTCTGGTCTCCAACAATTCAAAGGCTGAATGATTTGTACCAATATGCTGCCTGATATAATTCCTAAGCTTTAGGCAATGTGCTGAAATGCTGTTACCAGTGATCGTTTGGCCTTGTCCAACAGGTTAGAGCTTCTCAACTTTAGTCCTTAAACTTCACAATAACTAAACATTCTTTTCTTTTTTTTTTAGCTTTTTGATCTGGTTTACCGAGAAGAGACATTGCTGAATGTCATCAAGAGTGTCACTCGCAATGGCCGCTCCATTATTCTGACGGCTGTGCTCGCTCTTATCTTAGTCTACCTGTTTTCCATAGTTGGCTTTCTGTTTTTCAAGGATGACTTCATCCTGGCAGTGGACAAGGTGTCAAACAAAACCTACTGGGCAGGTAAAAGCAACATATGAAGCAGGACTATATTTTGTGGTCTTTAATGTGCTATTCTGTATTTAAAGTATGCATTTCAATGAGATATTTTGGGGCACTGGATAGTTACACACAATTCCACACTCAACTTTCCTAATTGCATGTTGTCTATTTTGTGCTGTTTATCGCAATCAGTTGTCTCCTTACAATACATGGTTAATAATTACATTAGCAGACCAGACAAAGAGAACGCTGTCTGTATAGGTAGAGTGAGTCTGATTATCTTCATAGAAAGTACTTGAAATATATGTTATCCAAAGGTTTTCCTTTTTTCTTATTAAGGGCTTTTTCTCTGCACCCAGTAATACCTACGATAAAAACACTTCATAATAGGTTGGCCACATCACATTGGTCTCGTGTGAAGGTAGACTGGAGTTGAAGGGATGTGACTGAATACTGTGTGAAACTCCACTTTTATTTTTTAACACATTTTTGCACTTGGATGTTGATAGAGAGGCTTGTCAATAGCAAAGCATCATGATCATAGTTTCACCAAATGAGCATACTGAATTCACAGAGCTTTTCTCATCAATTAGAATACAGGGTTTTTTTGTTTTTTTTTTAAAAAATAATCTAGTTCCTTCTCTTAACAGTTTCCTAGCTCCTGCTTATCTCTTTCTGGGTGAGAGAATAGTGGCTGTTTGGATGAAAAGGCATTAGGTATTCAGCTGCACACTTAAATAAAAGTGAATACCCAGTACACAAGAAACTTTGAGCATTTTTTTATTTGAAAGAAACTTATGTGTGTGGGTATTGCTGGCAAGACCACTATTTGTTGCCCATCCCTAGTTGCTCTCAAATGATTGACTTTCTAGGCCCTTCAAAGGGCAGTTAAAAAGGCCATATTACTGTGGATCTGGAGTCACACAAGGGCCAGACCAGGTAAAGGACACTAAAGAACCGAAAGGGATTTTACAACAATCAACAGTGATAGCCAATAGACTAACTTGGGTAACCAGCCCTGGTGACATTACTCCTATGCCAATGCCTCCTGTTTATTTCAAGGCGCAGTTGGGAATAATAAAAAGCAGATGAAGCTTGTCCAGAGCCTTAGTCAGACCTCACCCGGACGACTGCATACCTCAGAAGGATACAGTACCCTTGGACAGACTTGCAGCAATAACTTACGAGAGATGGTAAGGCAGCAAGAGTTAAACTCCGAGCAACTGCTGCATGGACAAGGCTCGTAGTCCCTAGCATTTGGAACATCGAGTGCTGACCTAATCAAGATGTTTCAAATAGGAAAAGGCTTTGATGGATTAGATAGGTTGAAGTGATTTGCTTTGGTGCATAATCAAATCTTGAAGCATTTTTTCACGTGGAGGAATTCCGAGTCCCCACTGCAATTCGCTCCCAGCCCATAATGTTGGGTTGATCAAAGTTTTTGAAACTGAGACGATAGATTTTTGTTAGGTTAGGGGCATTGAGGGAATTGGTTTAAAGGTGGGCACAATATGTGGAGTGGAGGTACCAATCAACCCTAATCCAATAGGGAGGCATAAGCTTAGTGGTGTATCAAGTAGACTAGTAATTCAGAAACCCAGGCAATGTTCTGGTTCAAATCCCAACTTGGCAGATAGTCAAATCTGACTTGAATAAAAGATCTGGATTAAGAGTCTAACAGTGACCATGAAACTGTTGTTTAAAAAGTCCATCTCGTTCACTGATGTCCTTCAAGGAAATGAAATCTGCCATCCTTACCTGGTGTGGCTTATATGTGACTCCAGACGCACAGTAATGCGGTTGACTCTTAACTGCCCCCTGGACAGTAAAGGATGGGTAATACAAAATCAGAATCCCTACAGTGTGGAAGTAGGCCATTGGCCCATCGAGTCCATACTGACCCTCCGAACACAATCCCACCCAGACCCACGTCCCTACCCTATCCCTATAACCCTGCATTTCCCATCTCTAATCCACCTTGGCTGCACATCCCTGGACGCTATGGGAAATTAAGCATGGCCAATTCACCTAACCTGCACATCTTTGGGCTGTGGGAGGAAACCGGAAACTCACGCAGACAATGGGAGAATGTGCAAACTCCACACAAACAGTCCCCTGAGGCTGGAATCGAACCTGGGTCCCTGGCGCCGTGAGGCAGCAGTACTAACCACTGAGCCACCGTGCCACCCAATATAGTGCTGGCCGAACCAGCGACACCCACATCTCATGAACTTAAAAAAATAATTTGTATGGTTTGAGGGATTAACCTACTCTTGTTCTTCCATCAACAAGAGACTTTACCTGGTCTATCCTTGAAGACAGTGTATGCTCTGAGTTGACCATTTCCCCCAGTGCAACACTCTGCATGCTGCACTTTACGCTACCTGATAATACCTTTCAGTCATCAACTCCCCCCAGTTAAGGGCTTAGTGGTATTATCGCTGGACTGTTAATCCAGAGACCCCAGATAATGTTCTGAGGACCCAGGTTGAAATCCCACCATGGCAGATGGCGGTATTTGAATTCAATAAAATATCTGGAATTGAGAATGTCGTGATGACCATGAATTCATTGCCGATTGTTGGAAAAGCCCATCTGGTTTGTTAATGTCCTTTAGGGAAGGAAACTGCCATCCTTACCTGGTCTGGCCTACATGTGAGTCCAGACCCACAGCAATGTGGTTGACTTTAGGGCAATTAGGGATGGGCAATAAATGCTACCTGGCCAGCAATGCCCCCATCCCGTGAATGACTAAAGGAATAAAGGTAAAGATCCCAGTCTGGCAGGATTCCAATAGGCAGAACGAGGTTGTTACAGACTAAAATTAACAAGATTGCTTATTAACAAAACAACTAATATTGCCCACAACTAGTAAAGATTAATAATCAACCATAGCAATCCCCTACAATATGCACAATGGATTACTTACCTGTCACGTGTTTCAAATATTATCATTGACTGAAGGAACAGAGATCTCACGTTGAGCTGTGCTGCACTGTAACAATTAAATTTTAGGATAAAAATGGAAACACTGCAAGAGTAAAAGCAACTTCAAGGTAGTAGTTGTGGGAAAGAAAATAGCCGAAAGAACTGTGGATGTTGGCAAATCAGAAACTGCTGGAAAAAGGCAGTAGGTCTGGCAGCATCTGTGGACAGAAAGCAGAGTTAATGTTTAGGGTACAGCACGGGATTTTCCAAGGGCGAGGAGTAAATGTTAGGTGGAGAGAGAGCCCAAAGAGACAGAGAAACGGTTGGACAGACAGAGGACTGGGTCAAGGTCAGCCTGGGAATATGAAAAGCTGCTAAGGCGACTATAAGTAGCTGATAATGGGTTATCTGTGGTAGTGGTTCGTGGGGTTGTGGGTGGAGATTGGGCTAAGGACTTGGGAGAACCTGCCCCAAGCCCTAAAATTGTTGAATTTAATATTAAGCTCAAAAGGTTGCAGTCCCAAGTGGAAAATGAGGTGGTGTTCTTCCAGCTTGTGCTGACCTTCACTGGAACACCACAGCAATCTCAATTGGCCAGGGAACACATTGCTTTACTTGGAAGGTGTGTTTGGGGTCTTGGATACTGAGGAGTGAGGAAGTAAGCAGACTGGTGTTACACCTTCTGCAGTTGCAGGGGAAGGTGCCATGGGGCAGTGGAGGGGGGTACGGGGGAGAGGGATGTTGGGAATGGAGGAGGAGTGGACCTGTGCCTCCCAGTGGGAACGGTCTCTGCAGCATGCTGACAAGGGAGGGGGGGAAGGGAAATATGTGTCTGGTGGTGGCATCTGGTTGGAGATGGCGACTAATGGATGTGGTTGCTGGTGGGCTGGTCGGTAAGGGCAAGGGGAACCCTATCGCTGTTGTGGGAGCAAAGGGGGTAGAGGGGAGGGCTGATGGGTCAGAGCCGGCTGAGGGCCAAGTCAACTACAGTGCTGGGAAATCCTCAGCTGAGGAAAAACGTGGCCATTTCAGAGGCTCCCTTCTCGAAGTTGGCATCATCGGAACAAATGCAATGGAGACAGAGGAACTGGGAGAATGGAATAGAATCTCCACAGGAAGTGGGGTATGAAGATGCATAGTCGAGGCAACTGTGGGAGTCGGTTGGTTTGTCGCGGATATTGGTGACCAGTCAATCCCTGGAAAAGGAAACTGAGATGTCGAGGAAGGGAGGAGTCCGAGTTGGACCAGGTGAAGGCGAGAGCGAAAATTGGAAGCAAAATTGATAAACGTTTCCAATTCCAGATGTGAGAGGGAAGCAGCCTTGATAATGTCATCGATGTACCAGATAAAGAGTTGTGGGTGGGGGTCAGAGTAGGACTGGAACAAGGAATGTTCTACATACCCCACAAAGAGACAGGAGTAACTGGGGCCCATGTGGGTATCCATGGCCACACTAGTTGTTGGTAATTGGAAACTTAGTTGTGTTGCTTAATTTACAGAAAGGTTAATTTCTGTTATTCATTCGTGCAATGTGAACATTGCTGACTAGGCCAGCATCTGTTACCCTTGAGAATGTGGTGATGAGCAAGTTCCTTAGACTAGATGGCCTGCAGCGGTTTAAATGCACCCACTGCACTTTTAGTACTGTACTAGTTCCAGGATTTTGACCCAATGACCATTTAGTTCCGCAACAGGATGGGTGTGTGATGTTGAGGGGAATTTGCAGGCGGTGACGTTCCTCAGTCTCTGCTGCCTCAGTTCTTCCATTTGGGTACAACTGCGTTTGTAAGATGCTATCGAAAGAGCCTTGCTGAGTTGCAGCAGTGCAGCTTGGAGACTGCACCACACGTGTCAGTACAGCGTGGAGCTGGAGGAACACAGCAGGTCAGGCAGCACCAGAGGAACAGAAACATCAACTTTCCCGCTTCTCTGATGCTGCCTGACCTGCTGTGTTGCTCCAGCTCCACACTGTGTTGACTCTGACTTCCAGCATCTACAGTTCTTGCTATCTCCATGTCTCCCCGTGTGCATTGGTGTGTGAATGTTTACTGTGCTGGATGCAGCGCAATCAGGCAGGCTACTTTGTCTTGAGT